TTTTATTCATGAGTCATCAAAACGAGTCAATTTTGTTCATTCTGCAGTAATCATTTCATGCTCTCCAAAACAAATTCCTTTAGGTAACAAGCCAGCTATGAGCACAGCTTATATAGAAGACAGAAAATGGCTGCTGCTGTTGTTACGTGGAATTGTGTTGCTATAAATGCTGTGGAAAACAGAACTCTGTGAATGCTCTTCCAAATTATATGCCTGGACTTCCAAAAGTCAGGAAATGACAAAGCTAAGAATAAACAAGGGTGAAGGAAATTTAACTGTGTCCTTTCATGTATAAATATTACAATGTCTGGTCAAATGCTGGCTCAGGTTCATTTTTACTGCTGTAAGGAGCAGAGAAGCCAGCAATATCCTCCCAGCATGCAGCCATCAGGTCCCCATGCCATTAGGGCTATGACAGGGGTATAGAGAATATGATTGAAGTGTACTGTATTCTACTTTTCCCCATCTAACAGATAGAGGATTGTTGTACCAGAACGTAATTTAGAGCAGTTTTAAGACTACTGTAAGTTACACCAGGAGTTAAGCAGCTCCTTTCATCCCTGGAGAGATCAACTGAATGCAAAACTATCTTTGCCACCTCCTGTCCAAAGGTCTCCAAACAACATTCTGGCACCACTGATGTTCTAGACTACACTGTGTTAACTTAAATTGTTTTAATATAACTTTTTAAAGTAAACTAGTATATGCATCAAATTGGGCATGAAATGAACAAAACAAGAGTTAACCAGGATGCCTTTGTTCCTTATTTCTTCTATAACATTGATTTTTTTTTTCACTCTTTCTAACATACTGAGGAGGGTTCAGGAGATGGTATATATTTTTCTAACGTCAGAAATGTATTTTTTGGAAAAAAATATTTTGTTATATGATGAAATGTAATGGAACATAATTCATTTGCACAGAAGAAGCAGAGTTAAGCCTGCCTATGAATTCTTAACTTCAGTACTTACTGACTTGTAACCATGCAACTTCAATATTCATTTCAAATAGCTTACTTTATTGAATTTCTTCAATCAAATCGAAACCAATTTTCACCAGAACACTTAAAACACTTCTCTTCACTGAAAGCTATTTTCCTACAAAATGTCACTGAATTGCTTCAATGCTAGAGCTATTTTATTAAAAAAGTAAAACTATTTTTCTAAATAACTAGGAAAGTGTCTCCATTTCCCTGGTACCCTCAAGCTCCTTGCATTCCTAAATTGCTGAAATGTTAGGGATTGCTATTTCAGTGGGAAAGACTTGTTTTATTTAATCACTTTTTTTTTTCCAAGAAGATGCTTGCTCAGAGAGAGATCAACAGCAATCTGTGCAGGAGGGAAATGTCAGGTTTCCTGAGTATGTAGTAAAAAAGCAGGCAGCAAGGAAGAGCATTTTCTATAGTGACTGGGGAAGGTTCCTGAAGAAAGGTGTTTGCGCCCGAAAGTTTGCAAAGAACAATTTTCCAACTATTTAGTTGGTCTAATAAGTGATATCGCATTTACCCAAAGAACCTTGTCTGCTCTATAAGAACACAGCACAGCAGCATCCCAGAGAGCAGGGTTGATTTTTGAAAGTTCGCTAGTAATTCATGCTCCCTAATCTTGCTCGTATGCCCGAAGTTAACTTTACACACTGAACTTGGAAAGGCTGTTCACATGCACAAGTATTTGCATGATCATTGTCTAGGATCAGAGATTCTCATCCAAGGTGCCAAAGCACCCTGGGGTGCCTTGAAATCTTTTCAAGGGTGCCACGAGGTGCTATGCAATACTAGCACTGTTAGGTGTGTAAACATGATTCACAAGATGAAACAAGAGATTTCAAATAGAATCTTTTCAACACTATGGATTCCTGGCCTGTTGTGGTCTTTCTGAGTTCTCTGCAACAGACCAATCACTCTACTATTTTTCTATAGTCAAAAATCAAGTGAAAGTTAAGAGCTGGCATTTTCTAAGAGGTGCCTAGAGTCTAATGAGGGATGCCTTGAGTTTTGAAAGGTTGAGAACCACTGGTCTAAACTGTAAATATCTGCTGCTTCTGAAGATAAAAATAAATGCTTACCTAAGTCAATAGGGGTCTGCCAAGATGAAATGCACCACTGTTTATGATACTTATACCCTGTCATAAGAGTTTAGCCTTTTCTCTGTTAAATATGGATTTCCACAACTTTGAAACTTCTGCTGTTTCTCCAAATAACTTGAAAAAATAAACTAAGTTTAATAATTTTGGTTTTTTTTAATCTTGCAGGGAGGACAAAAAGTGAATTTTGACTACAACCACCAAAAATAAGGCTGGCTAACTTTGTTTTTTCCCAACTGAAAGACATGCAACTGAAGAAATTACCACCATTAATCATGAAAAGTAAATTGTGTGCGCAGGTATTTCAAGCAGAAATCTAAAGTGCTAATTGTAACACAGACCATCATCTTTTATTTGATTTTTAATGTGTCTCTGGCACTACACACATGTATTTTCCCATTATTTTGATATTCTACCCTGCTCCTGATTCTTTCTTCAGCCCCTCTAGGCCCCTCCCACAGTTGTTCTAGGTCTGTCTGGTTATCTTATCTTCCCTCTGAAACCACTCAGGGCAATCTTGTGACTTGGCCTCACAGCTTTTTCTTTTTTCTTCATTCATTTTTTTTTACCAGCAAGCTGCAGATGCATGAAGGGATATAATAGTAAAGCAAATAATTCATGTGAAAACAACAATATAGCACTATGGACCAGAACCTTGTACCAACGTTAACAAGCTCCTCTCTCTCTTTGTTGTTTGAACTAAAAGGACCAGCTTTTAACTAAGCTTGTAAACATGGACCCATTCTTTGTGTTCAAGGCAGAGTTGCTTGGATATTTCACCAGAAAGAGTCCCTTTCTAATTTAGGAGGCCAGGTGCTGAATACAACAACTGTTATCTAATACAGTGATTACAGTGGACTGCAACCTCCCCACCCCAGAGCTGGCTGCATTTCCCTCCTTGTTGGGAGAAACAAATTTTTAATAGGATGGGTGCTCTTTTTAATGAAATAGCCAATTAACACCTTTTACCTTGAAGGTAAAAAATAGGTCTATGCTTGTTGTTTACAAACTTAATTAAAAGCAGTCCTTTTAGTTCAACAAAAAAAGAGAGGCTTTTTAAAGTTGGTACAGGTTTTTTGGTCCACAGTGCCACATTGTTATTTTCATGTGAACCATTTGCTTTATTTTTATATTTCTTCATGTATCTCCAGTAGGGGTGGGGGGAGATGTACCCCCTGCAAAATTATAGCCCTGTCTACACTCCAGCGGCCCTGTCTACACCCCTGTTCCTCTGGAGTGCAGCACTGGTAGGTCAGACTCCTTTTAATGAGGCTGAAGAAAACAAGAAGGAACTCACTGCAGCCCCAGCTCATTTGAACTCTCCTTGTTTTTCCTTTATAATAAGGGATTCTTTGGGGAAATTCCCCCCCAACAAAAACCAAAACAACCCAACCAATATCACATTCCCAAAAAGCAACCTTTTTTTTTTGTATTGCCTTGAATAGCTTTAAACTGCAGCAGAGGTCAGGCTTGTTGCTCAATGCTGGTCAAGTGTTCAGGGAGATGTGTGTATGTTTGGGGGGAAATTAATCTTAAAGGATAAGAGAAATAGGATTCCACACACTGCATACACCATGCACATACATGCATACTGCATGTTACACACTGCATACAGTGCATACATCATGGGAACACACACTGCATACATATTGTGCACGCACCGGACACACCACACGTGCATACACACTATGTACACATCTCACACACACACAGAGCATGCAGATATTGCACATGCACTGCATATGTCACATACACACATGGCATATGGATATTGTGTGCCCACTGCATACATCCCACATTATGCATAGATCATGCACATGCTGCACACCTCACGCACACTGCGCAGATATTGTGCGCACATCATGCACCCTGCACACGTGCTGCATCTAGTACATGCCCGCAGACACACATTGCGCACTCACTACATACATAGCCTACTTCACAGGCGCACCCCCCCCCCGCATTCAGGTGCCGCCACATGCACACAGCGCGCTGCCTCCCCACGACGCGTGCAGGCCGCATACCGATACGACACGCGCCCCCTGCCTGCACCACACGCACGCACACCGCATCCATGCCGCTGGCGTGCACACACACGGCACGCCCCAGTCAGGAGAGGAGACTGGACAGCCACCTGTCCCCCGCCCAGCTCTTTCCTGCCTGGCGCAGGGGGCCGGCCCTGCCGATCTTCCCAGGTCCCTTCCGGCCTCGCAGTGTGTGACTGTGACTGCATGTAACACATACACACGCCCGGTCGCTGCGGGGGGCGCTGGGCGGCTCGGGTTACACGGAGTCACGCAGCGGCCGCGCCGGGTGCCAGCTGAGCTCAAGCTCCTCCGCCAGGCGGGGGCGGGGGCGGAGCC